ATTTTGTCTTCCATGATCCAAGAGTACAAACTACTGAAAGAGCTAAGCAGGTAGTTCGTGGTTTATGCAAATCTGGTGCAATCTACAGGTCATTGCTCCATTTTCGTTCTTTGCAAAATGATTTGCGTAACGCGTACACTGTGACAACACAATTACAGATAGTGCCGCAGAAAAAAAATACCTTCACCTCTTAACATTTTGAGGAAATGGAGAACCCCCTAGGGAGTTTTGGCCCAAGGCAATTCTAAAGCCAGAATCTTCGAGGAGACTTTGGTAACCCTAAACCACACGCTCACACAAATAATCGATATTATTTACATATTAGTTTCCACACGCGTTATGTGATATGCAACTGTTTTTGTAGATGAACAATGGTATGTTGAACAAAAGTATCGGAGTGACAACCTTACTATTTGGCTGATCTAAACGATTCCCGGGTATTTCCAACAAGCCCCCAAAAAACTATTTCAAAAGTAAGATGTTCAGGTTAATTCCACGAAGGGTTCTAGAACAAATTTTGCGTGGTTCCAGAGCCTTTCTTAAACAAATCTCGGTAAAAGAACAAACTTTGGATGCGTCTGGAAATACCTAGCCTGATCCTCAGTTATTCCTCCCATATAATAACCGCACAATACAATTGTGTGACATCACAAGTGTGGCTTAAAATTTCGTTATGGTACCCTTACTCGTATGTTAACGGGAATAAACAACCAATTAGCCATTATTTCTTGTTAACGTACTAGTAGGAGCACATCGCTTCACTTCAATGCTGTAAGTGGAACGGTACGATTTGCATAAACACAAAATGTACTATTCAGTGAATATCACGTGACGACGATGTATTAATTTCCTTGGCTCTCCCAACAAAAACCATCAGAGAATGGTATGGTCATGGTTCGAAACCAGCTTGGCCACCGGAGAATATATACAAGACAATTTGAAACGTCGAAACAACCTGACTTTAAATCCTGAAACCCAACGCATTGGTCCCCACTCATCGCGACAATCCAGTAATCACACCACTCGCCCACTGAGGCTGCCGTGCTTAGTTCCAAGTGCGTGTGGTTCATATTTTGAGTCTGTGCTAAGTGTTGTTCGAACCTAACTGGTTGGAGAGAGTGCTTTCAAAATTGTTCGTATGCTTATTGACAAAATCCATGCATAGCAAAGTAAAATTTGGGCAAACCATGTTCTTACCATAAACATTCTTTTCAACTTAGCAGTATTTAATTTCTTGTCATCTGTGACATCTGTTCTCCGTCTCTCCCGATATCACTAAGAATTGTGGATGTTTGAAAGCAAAAACTCGCTACCCCGGACAGCTGAACTCTTTTACATATTTGTACCATAAATTTATACCTATTTGGACAGATGTGCCCAATCAAGGCAATTCTAAAGCCAGAAACTTTGAGGGTATTTTGTAAACGTAACCCACACGCTCAGAGACACAATATTAGGTTATTTACCATCGTTCTTCCCGGGATTTATTGCAATAAAGCATTTGATAATATTGGCCAAGTAAAA